AGCATAGAAATAAAGCAGAACAAGTATTAAAAATGATTTTAAGACTTTTTTTTACTTTTTTAAATTTAAATATTTAATTTAGGACCTCTCTGGTTATCTCTGTATGCAATCACAGTATCAAATGAAACGGACAACAGAAAAGATAACAGATTGCTTTGGACTGAACACAATTATAATTCACTTGAGGGGTTCTGCTGATTTTACAAGCCATAAGAATGTAGCTCAAGAGGCTTATAAAATGTTAGGAGCTCGGAGAATAAATTATTGGCCTTTACTGGCTGGGAAACCAATTCACTATTTTTTTTTCCTGTGCTCTTAAAAGAGCAAATTGAGGCAGGCTACAGATCTGAAACATAATTCTTCTCCAACTTTCTAAGAGCTTTTATCAGTGTCTAACATTAGGAACTTTTAGTCTACTAACGTCTGTGTATTGTAACACAGTGACAGACTTCAAAACTGATGGTCAGCTGTTACAAACAAAACCAGTCGTGTTTCTTGGTACTCTCCACTTCCCAGCAGCACCATTTTGATGTGTTTAATCACACAGTGATCTCATTATCTGAGGAGCTAAGGCAGCAGACAAGGTAACCTTATTTAAAAAAAAAAAAAAAACCTGTTCATTTAGATTCCTGAACTGACTTTCCGTAAAGACATATGAGTCTCAGTGCCAGCACAAGAAAGCAAGCAGGTTCACCACATCCAGCAGTAGCTGACCATTAGATAGGCTTAGCATTTGTTTTTTTTTATTTACTTTGAGAGCAGTTTTATAAGTAAGGCTACCTGCCCATGGTTACTTATCTCATAATAACAAACCCAATACAACGAAAACTAAATCTTTTTTTAAAAGCGTTCTGTTCTGCAGTATTTTAATAGCACATTCTAAGACCTAAGAGATCTCCCTGACCCGTCCTCTCTCCTTACAGAACTTACAGCAAAAGAAAGTGTTCCACTTTCAACATCTGGGTTTATCACTATCCAAAGTCAGCAGTAGTTGCTTTTTGACTCGAGTGCGTAGTGTAAACTCTGTTATGAGAGAGCTGGTATGAATCCAGATTGTAACCTTGCCAATATCCTGGCTAGCAGAAGTCAAATTAAAAAACCGACACTCAAGAAAAACAAAGTACCCTCCCAAGATTCCTACCAAAGCAGAAAGGAGATCTATTTGCAAGATACGAGAGGAAAAAAGTGCACTGGTGCTTACCACTGGCAATTGGGCGATTCAAATTTTACAGAACTTAACGATCCTTTTTCTTCCACAAGCTAAAGAGTATTTACCTATCAGAACCAACAAAGCAGACAAAATGCTGCTACATCAAGACTATTTTTGCTTATTTTTCCCCCAATTACCTACACGTTCGGTCATGATCAAAAACTGTTTAATATTGTTCACTTATAAATTCCCTGTTGTTATGTTTCATTAGCTGCTACTCTCTTCTGATTCACGATAACAAATTAGAACAAGGGCTGTTTAACTCACTTAAAATAAAATGCCCTCACCTAAAATAAACTACCTTGGGATCCTATTTACTTGCAAGGTAAGGCAGGGTGATACCTTTGAAGCTTCTCTGTTCAAAATACAAGACAACAAGAACTTGAGTCACTAATTAGTCCCCTACAATCCCACAACATCACCACAAAAGAAATCATGTTTTAAAATTGTCACAACTGCATACAGCATGCCATGGCTTCTTATAATGGGCATGCAATTTCACTGTATGAAGGACAACAGACATTTCCACAGAGCAAAGAATTTTTATGAGAGATGATTACTATGTCACAAAATATAGGAGTATGCTAAGACTGCACCTTCATAGCTGAATCTCTCTGTATGCCAAAGCCAAATTCAGTCGGTTTAACGAGGTAGAACCTGGCACCAACACCACTACCAAAAAAAATTTATACAGAACTGCTATGCTATCAATTTTTAAGTACAATACCTACTATCAGTGCGCAATACCTCATAATGTCACATTCTACAAAATACTTTTGCCTAAACCTATCTATTAACATGGATATCCAAATCTCCCATTGCATGCACCTTTATTTCAGACTTAACTTGTAGTTCTCAAAAACATTACTAGCCTCTGTTTCCACTCCACTGCTTACAACTTTATTTATATATATAAAAGTTCCTGTAAGTAAATTCTAAAGATTTAAAATTCTTTTTAATGGGTTAGTAAGTGCCCAAGCTGTAAAAAACAATCACTGCCAGAAGGGAATGCTGTACTCCTTACTCCAGATCAAGTTCTTTAATTGCATTTTTGTTAGAAGCAGACAAATTCACCCAATCTCATCTGATAACATTGTGAATCTTCTTAAACAGATTTGTATTCAGAGATTTTTGTATTCAGAGATTTTATTTGTCAAAGAACAGCTTTTATTCAAAAAACAGAAAAAAAGGAATTTGTAAGACCTATAGCCAAAGCAATATTAAATATTGGAAAATATCACCTAAGCACCTGCCCACAAGCCCTACCCAAGGACACCTACAGATTTAAAGAGAGAAGGCAGTTTTCTCCGGCAAAAGGATTCCACAAAATGAAAAAACAGTCATTGCCATAAACCAAAACACATTATATATGATCCCTCCCAACTCAGGATCTGTTCACAGAGCAGAACTGCTAAAAAGCTTATGGCTTAGTTTTTATTTGATGACTGAGACTGTACAAAAAGCCTGCAGAAATTAGGTAACCAATTCTCATCAAAATGTAATAAACATTAGATACCTAATTCCTTTAGGCCCTTACAAATGTCTCACTGAAGTCAAGGCAAAAATCTACCAATAGACACCAGATGTAATGGTAGCTAGGCTCTAACCATACATATGGTTTAGGTAAATTCTAGCATCTATATTCAGACAGGCAATGTGTTACCAGTTCCCTGCAGAGGTTAGGTATTCGGAGTGATGATTTACTGAGTGCCTGTTAAGAGCTATGCAAAAAAGTGTAAACACCTATAACATTTTTAAGGATTGTAATGAAATGAGAAAACAAATTTCCATCACGCTGGCCCAAATGGTGATGCTGCTGACCCAGATTTTCAAAAGTATTACATGCTATCTAATTGTTTCTCAAGTGTCCAGTCCTACAATTTCTCACAACTCTCACAGGAGTAGTCACATGACTTCCAAAAAGAGACAACTCTTCTCTAATTGCAAATCCAAAATGCTTCCTAAATTTATGCACATCAACATCACCCGATTTCTTTTGTGAACAGCCTCAAATAGTAGGCCAGATTCTCTTCTCTTAGCTTTCCACACAGAGATGTCTGCTGTATATCATTCTTTCTCTTCTTCTTTTGCCTCCTCAGATGAAGGAAGCTCTTTCTCCCAGACAAAGTATGTACTCAGATCGAACCCTTTTTATTTCTTGAACCCATGCCAGGGAACAAGCAGGGATTGAATCAGTTGTGGTGAATCATGTAGTTCTTCTTGTGGTCCTAGAAAATTTTCTCCCTCTCCCACCTCTTTTGGACACATGAGAGTTCAGAGAGAAAAGAATGTATCACTGTCAAGGTGACTTAGCCAGATACAAACACAAAGGGAGCCTCAAGACCAAGAGCTAAAGAGAAAGACCAAGGATCTGGCCAAAATGCTCAACTATTTCTGGATGAAAGGATTCAGGATTGTGAACATCTACATTACAAAGATTTTGAGTATGCTATGAGGGTGAAGATAATCCTTAAGCACAAGTGTTCTGCACTTTACAAAACTTTCTGAGTGTATATAAAGTGAGATACAGCTATTTCATTGTACAATGGGGTTTCTATTAGCTCAAAGTTTTGGTGCCCACAGCATCCAAGTCTGTTGCACACTGTGGTATAAAGCTGCTACAAACCCCAGGGTAACAAAGGCATGGATTCCTTCACATGAGGAAAAGTATGCAACATTACTAGATCCAAAACTAAAACAGAAGACGCAAGAAACCACCATCGCTACTCAGGAATTCAAGACCAGCTGGGCACCCCAAAAGATCCAGAGACTGTAGACACCTTTGGCACAGGGTAGTTACACTGAGTCTAGGATGAAGCAGTATCTATTTATAATTCCTGCGGTTGTGTCCCTTCACCATTCAATATAACTTCTACCTTTTCCAGACTGAGTCAACCTAAACTGAGTCTCAACCAGTGTATTTTCAGCCAGATCCTCTGCTTTAGACAACGTAGTAGTCTAAAGCACGTAGCAAGCAAACTGCACTATTTAGATCTGATGAAAAGGCAACGTAGACCCAAGAGTCAGTCATGTGCTATGAGCACAGGGCAAAGCAGATCACCTCCCCATAACTGTACATACACAGGAAAACAGTTAACTACAGCCCACTTCCCCCCACCCAGCTCCAACTGAAGGCATGAGTCACAGATGGTTCTGAAAAGATACATCATGAAAGCATGATACACTGTTACCGGGAACAGGGTAACTGGGGTTTACCTTCCTTACACTACCATAGAAAACACAAAATGACACTGTCAATGAGTCGTGGTTTTTGCTTCATTTGCTAACAGTAATCAGATGTTGAAAGTTTAAGAACTGATCAATACAACAGCTCATTATACTTAAAATAAATAACTTAGAATATTTACACGCAAGTCGGTGATCTGGATATTACAGTCCTACAGGACACTGTGCATTAACATTTATTAGGACTTCACTATTGCTATTTCATCAAACAACGATTTAGTCAATAAACAGGTGCATATGAAACAACTACAGAAAAACAGGAAAGGAGAACAGCCAAATCTTCAACTGATATAAACCAGTGCTACTCAGTTCACACAAAAGTGGAACACACTAACAGCGGAAGATACGCCTTTACATACCCAGGTATGTAACTTCACTGTAACTTCAAGATCACTTCTGGAAGGGAACTTGCAGTTTACATTCAAATCACAGAATGAGAAACACAGCACGTTAATTGCATATCCAGATACTCAGGACAAAGACAACCAACCTCCGGACACTGCCTCATAGGTTTCTCTAGCCTCCTACCAAGAACGGCTACCCTCCCCCACAGCACAGCCAGCAGAACGGGTTGTGTGCTTGCACCAGACATTTCACCGTGGAGTCATGTAACAAAAGCGCACGCTGAGACAGCTTACTTCACGATAGTCCTAGTACGAAAAGACTGGCTAAGAGCTGGGGGCCAGATCTACTCCAGCCAGTTCAAGGGAAGCCATCACAAGTCAGAGTTCACATACGTTAGGCGTAAGCCTTGTCATCAAAGCTCTCACTGAAAAGGCTAAAGCACAAGCATATGATCCCTTCAGATAGCTTTGCCTCAAAAGGTAGCAGCCCTCAGGAAAGCCTAGAGCAGACAGCCGGAGTTAGGATTTTAAGGAAGTGGTTTTCACCCCCCCAGCCATATTCATCACAGAAAAGCTGTCAATGCCTAAAATCAAGCCCACGTTTGGATTAGCTCTGTTCAGTGCTACATGTGCAGATTCTACTGTACATTTAGGGGACACAAAACTGACTCATGACAGTGCTGACTGGTTACAGATCAAGTTTCCATGCAGTGACCTTTTCTATAGGCATTAATCACAGTTATTGAACATCATCTTCACATTAGAGTCTAACAAACAAAAGCCGTACTTAGAGGTAGGTGGAGGGAAAGAAATTCTTTGTATTACTGACAGGGCTTGTTCTTACTTAGAGGAAGGAGAAGACGAGCAAGAAAGAAGTTTGTTCTTAATACAAGTTACTTGAGAAAAAATATCACCGGAAGATGAGGCGACAGCACGATTTTCAGGACAACAAACTTATTTTTAACGTTATTCCTAAAGGCTCCAGTTCTAACGATCTCATTCTCTGCTCATGGCCTACAGTAAGACACAAGAAACGTTCTCTATCCAATGGAGGCAGAAATAAAAATGTTTACACTCAAGAAGTGATGATTTTAAACATGTCAGAAAAAAACATAACAGTTTTGAGTCTTAGTCCTCTTATCGTGCTATATTTGCAAACTACCAAAGCTGTATTTAAAGGAGGGCTTACTTCTTTCCCTTATTCATCTTCAACTTTTTTATCTTGCTAATATAGCATAAGCCTCTGTGTGCTGCCTTTTTCATGACAAGTGATCTTTATGTTCTAACCTTGCATTTATTATTCCACTTTAGCTTCTCACTTCTGTTTGATCCTCAACTGATGGACTGCAAAAGAGGTGGAGCTCAAGGAAGCACTTTGTATACATGGTGATCTTCAACTGCAGTAGGAAAAAAAACCCAAAAATTAAGTATTTTAGTTAATGATTTGTAAAAAATGTTCTAATTCATATAAAAAATGAAAATTCGCCTTCTGAAAAGGATCACTAGATCACAGCAATATTATTAATCATGAACATAATTAATCAAGATCATATCCACAGGATTTGAGGAAGAAGTGCAGACTTCTTTTTTTTCCTATAGTTGCTACTGTGCACATTCTGACCTTAACTTCAAACTCCAGTAAAAATTGAGAAAATATATCTGCAGATATTCATTTCAGTTACACCTTTGTCAAGAATACATTTAATATAAGAATACTAGCTGGAGTACCTTTTCCTGGTCAATTTCAAGCCTCAGGGGCTGGCCAAAGCACTTTTTAAACCTGACAAGAAATGCTCACAGACCACTTTAGAAAGGAACAAAAGAAAAGATCTAAGACTGCTTTGAACACACTCTTGTGGCGCACATGTTCTATGAAGCACCGTAGAAATACTACTCCTAAAGCTGAGACAGAACTCATGAGAGAAATACTGTATTTAATGAAGCCCTCACACCTGTCAAGTTCACGTGCTACACAATACCCCTAACTTTGAATTTATTTCAAAATACTCATCATCCATACAATCTTTTTGCCTCCTATTACTGATGTGTTACATATGGATATAAAAACTTGTCTCTAACCCTATCCTTTCGGTACATCATTTTTTCCTTAGAGTAATAAAGGGACAAAAAAAACCAGAAGTCAAGAAGAGTAATAGAGCAATTAGGTTCCCAAAGAGAAAGTGTGGCTTTATTTGCATAACAATACACTGACTTACACAGAGAAGGCTGCCTCACCTCTGAGCATGCAGCCAGTATACTACTAAAGGAATTAAATTTTGGTACAACGTTCATTTGCCTCGCTCTTAGGGGCCATGGTTAAAATTAAGAAACACTGAAGAAATTAAAAATGCAGAAAAGAATGTAAATGGAATAAAGCACTAAAGGTCACTGGTCCCATGTTATTTTCTAACAAAAAGCAAGCACAACACTTAATATTAACAGGCAATATGGAGAGAGATAGGTGGACAGACAGATCTTCAACCCTTCAGCTGGTTAATTACCTATCTGAAATATTCATCAAAAAACATCCAAAAAGAACAAAGTTCACCAAACGTTTGGCAGGTCTAAACATCAACAGCAAAGTAAACGGGAGATACCACGGCGGATCGATTCAGCACCAACTATGCAGCTACGCTGACAACCACGGTTATTTACTTGACGTATAATAACGTGTATTTCAAAACCCAAAAGAAGGGGGAGGGGGAGTTAAAGAAGAGCAGGAACTTTTTTCCCGTCTGGTGTCGTTTTGTTGTGGCAACAAGGTAAACTCAGGTGGGGGCAGGG